CCCCACCTCTTTGGGGTTTTTGGTGCTGCCGCTTGCGGGCGCATCCCATCCCCGCCCTTGCTGAGAATAAATACCTTTCATCTCTCCCTCCCTCCCTCCCTCACACAGAAGCGCCGATCCAGCTGGGGGCGGGTGGGAGCGTCCCTCGGCCCCAAATCTTCCAACTTGAAGCGCGCCTCTCGCTAACTTGGTCACTTGCGGCGTCCCGTTTTTAGCGTTTGTTTCATGACATTTTATGTCTTTTTTTCCCTCATGTTTTATATACCAAAAAAAAAAAGAGGCTGTGTTATTTCAGAAAAGTTGTTATCCTGTGACAAGATGGATTTTCCTTTTTTTTTTTTTTTTTATATTGAAAAAAAATGATTTTGGGGGTAAGATTACAAGATTTTTCCTTGAAAAATAACCTTGTCCGTATGCGCCGAGCACTTTGTGCGGGGGACGCGCGACTTCTTCAAGGCTCTCGTTCAGCTCGCGGAAGTTCTTTTTCCGCCATTTTGCGGAGCGAACAGCGAGAAGTTAGCGTTAGCATTAGCCGCTTCCGACGTTAGCTTAGCATCAGCCGCGACGGGCGGGCGAATGAACGTACGAACGAACGAACGAACGAACGGTGCCTTACCGCGTGGGCGAGATCGCAAGTTAGCCAGCGGCGAAACGGGGACAAAAGCTTAGTTTATCTTGCGCGGTTTCGAATCGGACGACTCTTATCTCGTGACGTTAGCGAGCGAGCCGCAATCTTTGGGAAATATTGTCTTGTACATAAAGTGCCGTGTTTTTTCCATGTGTAATGTTGTTGTCCCGACGCGTTTTGTACAGACGGCTTCCGTTCTCCCGGGAAGTGGAGATCAATGAAGGTTTTGCTGTTTTCTTTGTTTTGTTTGTTTTTGCAATAAAAGTTCTGAGCTGAGCGCCTGCTGCTGCCGCTTGTCCCGTTCACCTTTTGTCGTCGCTCATTCGAAGCTTTGAAGAGTGGCGACTGAAGGGAAGTCGTCGTCTCGTTGTGCTCTTGTCCGACCCGCCTTGACGACTTGGGCGAGCGCTCTTTCCTCATTTTCCCAACAGTTGGTGGCTTCGGCTGCGAGGATTTCTTGAGGAAAGAATGTTGCAAATGCCGCGAATGTGACGAAACAACTTGTCGTTCCTACCGCAGTACGCCAAGATGGTTTTGAACAAGAGCTGACTGTCGATGCTGATTGTCATTTCCCGGCAATGTGTGTTCATTTGAACATTTCCACAAATCACGTCTTGCACATTGTCACGATCCGGTTACGAATGACCGGGAGAACGAATGAACGTGCTCAGTGTCATGACCTGAATCGATCTCATTCATGATGACAATAATAACTTCATCAACGCTAAGTTGAAAAAAAGTGTGATTGGAGAAGTGTTGTGTGTTGAACTGCTAGCCAACAAGGGACGGTTTCAAAGAGAAAAAAAAAGTGGCTATTGTGATGTCCTCCAAAATCGTTTTTTTTCCCCCCCTTGTGCCATTCTAAACGTCTTCCTCAGAAAAGAGTCTTAATGGTGAAGAACATTTTTCAATACAAATTTTCTACCCCCCCCCCAAAAAATCAGATTTTTTTTTCCTTTTCATGTGGCAAAACAACTCCATCGGAAGTTTGATCTCCCAAGCATGCCACTTGTTCTTCTTGAAAATATATAAACGACTATCAGAAAATATCTTTTCATGACTTCTTGCATGCACTATAAATGCTCTAAACAACCTTTTTTGGTCCCAAAAGTCATAGAATGCCGTTTTTGGATGAGCTCGAAGGGCGATTATCAGGCCATTTTTTTTTTTTTTGTTCCCAGGGTGGCCCCTTTTTGCGCCTGGCGCTCATTAGTGACTGTCGTCACCTGCGTTGCCGGCTAAATGAAGCGTTTGACGGCCATCGCCGGCCTTTGTCATCACGGCCCACGCTTTTTCTTTGTCCCGCCCGGAGGTTGACTGACCACCCGCAGCCACCTTCCCCCTCGGCGCCGCGTCGCCCACACGCCCGCCTTGGCTTTTAATTTGCACTCATGCTACCCCCCTAATTAAAAAGGCTTCATGCCAAAAATATTTTTCCCCCCATATTTTTTTGGCTTTTCTACGTCTTTTTAAATTTGTTTCTGTTTTCAAAGCTCTCGCAGCAACTTTTTAAATGGAGAAAAAAAAATCAACGGCAAAAATGACGTTTCTTGGAAAAAGATGACATTACTCTTGGCAGATTTTCTCCTATGTATTTAATTTTTTTTCTTGGAATACAAATCCTTAAATTCATCATATTCCAGATTTTCTCAAACTCAAAATTTGAATCAAGAAAGCTTTTTTTTTTTGGTTTTTTTTTTTTTTTTAGTCGGGTGAATTTGAAAATTTGTATCA